TGGTGTACTGTGGTAGTTTATTATTGTATTTTGAAAATTAGTTTTGGGGTTTAGTTTACAATGTGTGATTTTGAGCATGAAATTAACCGTTTTGTCAATTGTGTGTTTTAGGTGTGATGGTGCGTTAAGAGTTTAGGAAACTTGTTTAATGTTTTGAAAAAACTGTCATAGCGATTGTAAAAAACTGTAACATGAAGTGTAGCTTTTTTTTTTTTATAGTACAGTAGGTATTTTTTACACTGAACTTAGAGGCTGCACAGATGGTCATATAAGGACACCTAGTGGCAAAAGAAAATCCCTGAATTTGTGCAGGAAACATTTTCTTACATAAGAAAATCACCTTTACTCACCGGCCTCAGCAGCAAAGCAGGAATGCCGTACTGTATACTCAATGTGAAAGTCATTATGCAAAAGTATAAAACGTCTCTTAAACAGCAAATACTTGGAAGCCAAAATATGTAAATTTATACCAATTGTGATTGTGCTTGCAGTAATATTCTGCTAAGTATCTATAATGTAATGTAAATGAGTAAACCAGGCTTGGGGGACATACTTTGTTGGAATTCAAAGTATTTTAAGAATTCTACAATAGCAGGCTACCCTGCTATTGTAGAAAAATGTAAAAGTGTCAAACGCGCACATCTGTCTGGTCACTTAAGCAAATAAATATGATGTAGATAAAAAGAGCACAGAAGAAGGTAACTAGCTGAGAAAGCTGAGAATTTCAGGAGCAGGTAGGACTCAGATCATTTTATTCCACCTAAATAATCGAATGTTAATACATTTAAATATTGTACATTTATGTTAATTATACATCATGTTAAATATCTTAGCAAAAAACAAAAAACTGTTTGTGAGAGTTATTTCAAAAAAGTACAAACAAAGTTTGGAACTACTCGTTCTACTGATAGGCCTGAAACAATCCTATCAAATTAATATCACAGGAGCAAGGGAATATGTATGCATAGCCTGTTGTACAAGAGTTCATCATGCACATCATCCACAAAAATAAATAACACAGTTTGTGCATTAGTGTAGGAAGTGCTAGCGTTCACCAACTAAAATGACTCAATAAAAAGTCTAAAATTAGCACAAGAAAAACAGGCTTGCTGTTGTGTTTTTAAGGCAACATCACTTGAAAGAGATAGATTTCTCTCAACAAGCTAACAAAGCAGCACTTTATTTTGAATAATTTATTGAAGATATACCTGGTATCAGCAGATGTGCTTTAAATGCATTCATCTGAATAACTGAAATCGATAAACTGTTGAACTGTTGGCCATCTGCATTTATATAGGAAGTTTGCTCATAAATCACATAGAGCCATCAAGGGGGTCCTCATGAATGTGACATGGAGTACACTGACGTTTTTGCTAACCAGCTGTAAGTCAAAGACCAAATTTGTAAGCTGATTATCATGCTATATGATAATAAAAAAGAAATGGTTTTTTTTCCAATAAAAATAAAACTATTCCTGAACCAAGCATTTTCCTGTATTTATAATTTTTCAGTACAAATGAAAAAGGAAAAAGGGCTTGATCAAATATAAAATTGGCAATAGCTTATTAAACACTTATCAGAAGCTGGTAAGTTATAGCAGCTCATCGTCATGTAAGAGAGGGCTGCCACAGCAGTGACTCTGAATGCCAAGTAAGAAAGATCAATAAATAAATAAGCAAATAATACATTTTTTGGCTTTCAGCGCCCGAAACTGAACACCCCAAAATGGGCCACTAGGGGTGCCATAAAAGGGGAAAGTTAGGGTGATTCCTGGGGGCCCTAAGAGACCTAAAATACTTGGAACATAATTGGATTGGTCTAGGTTAGGGTTATGATATGCTGTCATGGGGCCCAAAACCTCTAGCGGCTCCCCTGTCCACCATGCTAGGTTTCCTGGCCCCATTCCTCTGAGACCCAGGAATCAGGTAACCAGCAGGGCTTGGGGCTGCTGAGTGGTTGGGCAGCTACAGGAAGTGGTGCAGAAGAGAAGACAGGGCTGGAAAACCAGAAACAGGAAGCAGGACCCGGGAAACAGGAAGTGGTGCTGAAATACAAAAACAGAATATCCACCACAAACCTGAAAACAAAGCGCCACTGCCCAGCACACCAGCTGCAGAACTGCAGCTAACCAGGAGCAGGAAAAAGGAACAAGATGCCAGCTAACCAGGACCAGGAAAAAGGAACAAGATGCCAGCTAACCAGGAGCAGGAAAAAGG